TATATATGTATATGGGTACGTTTTGCAACTCAGTGTACGCTTCCATTCTCTCTTGAAATATATACGTTATAATAATACTTTATTTTTATTATTATATAATATATATATATATATGTATAACACGTCTGAGGACAGACTATGTGGCAAGCAAATTGCCATGCAATAATATTCGTGAAAGAGAGCAAAAAGTTCCGTGATTTGTTTCTGGGCAGAATACTGCCAAGTTACCCAGATCAAGGTAGATGAATTTTCTCAGAGAGTTCGTAACCGGAGCCTGCGGCCCACCAAAGCCTTACCCGCAAGGTAGCGGGTCGGTGTGTGAAAACCGCAATCTATTGCGGGTCGATGTTCAGTCCATCAGCTTATACGCCCTTTGGGTGGGGTCAAGTGTCCAAGGTGCCCAATACAGCTCGATGCTCATCTGAGCTGGTGACCATTGTCATAACCAGGAAGGTGTGTGTGGTTCGTACAGCTCTTGGTTAGTTTAGAATCAGGGGTTTTAACCAACTCCCCTAGTTGAACTGCCAGTAATTCTCCAACCCCGTTATAGTCCCGGATATTAGCTTTTCATCCCCTTACTTTGCTGGGAAAACACTTCCGCCACATGATGACCATCAGTAGGGCTTTCTCAGTAGAGGGATATTTGAGATGATTGGTCGAATAAGAGGTGTAAGGGAAGGGTGATTAGCCACAAATCAAGACACCCTCCACCTACCATACTGAGACTTTTGAGGTACATCTAAGTATTATCATTAATTACTAACCCTCAAACATTTCCATGAGTCACTCTCAAGCAAAAGCCTTTTGTACTCAGCAGTTTTTACGCTACGGTGGTCGATACTAGTGGTTTCCCCAGTTTTACTCCTTACTTTTGTCGACCACTACACGGGATGAAAACTTCCATTTTGGGTACCTTGATAAACATACTAGGTCATTTTACTTCCCACATACATAATTCACCAAACAACCGGAATTTTAGGATACCCAGGCAATCAGCACGTGATTATTACCTACAATTTATAATCTATGCCTCTCTCTGAATAGTTCTAAATGATCATCAATAAACAAATTTCATTTCCACCCATTTTGCTTTATACAATCATGAACACTTCTATTCCATAGGTTGATCTGATTATCATCTTTTGTTTACCAATCTGGTCCCACACTAAAGAAGTGCAGTCAAATGCAAAATTGAGAGCAAAAATCAGACAGAGCCGCTAATGCGATTAACCCATGCTTGAGTAGGCTAAAAGCTCCCTCCATTCAAGGTATTCACTTTTTAATACGAACGTCTCTAATCAAGTAATAAGTGTATGCTGAGATATCAAACTGAGAGGCTGATCGCTACTCACGCAGCCAAGTCACTCAGTGCTCGAGCTCCATAGACCACGTTGGTTGGGACATGTGTTATGTATATCATCAAGCATGCTGCCGTGGAGCACGATTTGTCCCGAGACAGGTAGCGGATGGAAAATAGTCGCGGGCGGTCGAACCTAGACTAGTTATTAGGCTATGCGAACCCTTATCAGGAGGCTCGTTCATAATTCCCGTTGGACTCCCTGAACGATGACCTCGAGATCATGGTAATGGGAGGTCACAGACACTTGCTGAGTGTCGCAAACAGTGGTGCTACTGCATCTACTCGTACTTCGGTCACCAATGCCAATACAACTCATGCTTGTTTGGCGCGCCTTGAGAGAAACCATCCTGTGATAGGCGTAGCAAATACCTGAGAAAACGCGGTCTATGGAGGTTAACCCGTTGCTTTGGTACACCATGGACGTTAGCTATTGCTCTCCTCCTAGACTTGGCACAGTTTGTCCGGTTTTCTTATGGGGCGAAAGAAAACAGAGTGAGGGAGACAAATTTTACCGCGCTTCTAGTTTATCGGTTCAGGGTATGTCGCGAATACTACGTAAACTGTCTGACCGTCTGAAAAATGTATCATTTATTCACAAATCTTCCGCACTAGAGAATATTTTCTACTGCATAGTCTTATGAAATATAATCAGGCTTCAGTTTCCCAATAATCATATATTTATATTTTTAACACATCAGGACCAAATGATGTCAGGAGTATATCGAAAAATCGATGCGCCACGTTGTGAATGTTATGCTGTTAATAACATGGGGATGTCGGTAGAGGATTATATTCACCGACGTTTCAGTTACCGTGGGTAACCTTTCTCAAGGCAGGTTTAACAATCAAATGACTCATCACATGCTGATACTAAAGGTCCTTGTGTCAAAAAAATCCAAGAAGTAATGACATATACCGTGGTCGATATGACAGTGGAGATTGCAAGTAAATACCAAGTCTTTCGGTATTTACGTCAAATCACACTGCGAAAAATCGACTAATTGAAACGATAGATTCCATCACTTTCGAGTTACGATTGCATGAATTCAGGGTTTCCAGTGTGCTAAATGTTTGATTGACAAGTCTCATCTTTTGAAGCGAATCACACCATTGATTTCTAACCATAAATGTGACTTTCCAGCAAACAAATCTGAAGAAATAAAAGTAGAATTCATTGTCACCAATCTCAAACAGAACTAAACCTTTCGATGTTTGCTGACCGTTTCATTATCGTAGCTAACCCCTTAATTTGGCTAAGGTGTTTTTGGCGTCTGATTTGCAGCTGAAAAATAGCAAAAGAATATTCGTATTTTGCGACAGCATCTGTCATATCAAAAACAAAGTGAGGCTTTCATTTAGTCGTATCCACTTGGTTCAGTTGCTAACTTATCCAGCAGTATGCAGGAAAATTTTCCCGATGAGATAAGCAGAGAAATTCTGAGTGTTTCTAACCAAGTTTAACCCCCCGGGGACTGGTGTTAAGATGAGCGAGATTTAATACTACTAACGGGCTTGTAGATATTAGTTATGCTTTATTATTTGCAGACCATGTGAAACAGTTCGATTAGCTTCACAACAGCGGTCAAGTGGGTGGTACAGTGTTTTGCGTTCGAACTGTGAGTTCCCCTTTTCGCGATCCTCAGTTGAGNACAAACTGGAAGCAGCTGTTTACTGCTTTATAGCTGTACAATATGTGTTTCCGTTGTTTGATATACGAAGAAATTTATCATATGTAATGAATTAATTTCGTTTTATTTTCAGCCTCGGTGCAAGGTCGTTCATGTAGTTTTGTCGGAAGCACAGAACGTACTTCAATAAGAAGCTGACTAGTCCGAATCGCAGAGGCTGCGGGGGATACCACATTTGAGCGTAATTAATAACTATGGGCTCTGTGCATTGCAAGGGTTTGAATTGGTTTATAACAAATAGACCAATCTTCTAAGAATGTTTGTTAATGTTATGGTGAATAAAAGCGGGAGAAAATCCTAGTCATGAAGATCAACTGTTCACTCATGGCCTACGGCAGTTTAAGCCATGGTAATGGGAGAAGTGAATCAGATATGGTGCAAGTAGAACACGTGTGGTTTTGATCTGAACGAACTTGAAGCTGCCTATTAGGCAAGTTCTGTAGCAGTAGCGCAGTTTGAACCTTGAATGATAGGGCTTAAAGCATCAGGGCTAAGAATTTAAACAGCTTGGTTACCATTTCCACCGAAGTGGTTGACACTCGGTTGTGTCACGTGCCATTGAATTAGTACCATAAAAAGGAATGCCCGAAAAATTAAGAGGAAGTGATTATTTCGAAACTGTACAATTATTCCACAATTCGACATCAAAAGATTAACATTGCGCATGGAGAAACTTTGACACACTATTTGCTTCCCGTCCCAAGTGCTCCGTGTAAAACAAAAATGATTACCGACTTTTCGTCAACGAGCATGTATGTAAATGAATCTTTGTTGCTCACCAACATAATCATTAACCGCCGCAGTTGTAAGTCGTAAATATGCAGCTGAGTATTTGCCCACAGGGGGATATAGAGCATTTAATTTACTTAACCTCAATCTGTGGGAAAATTGTGATCACTGAACGAGCTCGATGCTGCAACAGTATAAATCATGTCAAAAGGACACAACAGTTCGCGTTGTATTTTGAATTCGTTTCGTATGCCTGCTGAGTCCGTGTTGCAAATGCTAATTCAAGAGTCGGAACGAATACCAGGTATCATTCCAATTTATGATTCAGTCACTGACTGGGCTTCTAACATCAGCGGTTGTTTAAAATGACAAATAATATTTACAGTAAAGAGGTAACTAACCCACGAAACCATAGAGACAAGTGAGCAACAGGGATGGGAGAAAATTCATTGAAAATGACTTGTTGATTATGCGCTTGACTACAGAAGGATTCCTGAACGAGAAAATGAAAACGGAAGGAGAAAGATTGCTCTACAGTTTTGCGAATTTCGAAAAATTAAAAAGAATTAGAATTTGGCGTAATGAGAGTTATTTGAAATCAGTTGGTCCACGTTTGTGACCGGTTCCCGTGGATAAATGAAAGAGGAGGGGGACCAACTGGATAAGCGCATCAGAGAAAGATATTTGACAATAACGGCAAACAGAGGACAAGGAAGTGATGGCGCGACAATGAGTCTGTGTTTGAAAAATGGCCGTTAGTAATAGATCGGAGACAAGAGTAAAAGCTTTACACTGAACATAGTGGGGCAAATCCAAGTTTTTTAAGGATTGTGAAGTTGAGAGAGAATATCTGTTTCGCGGAAAAGGAAGGAAATCCTTCCAGATGCATGAAATTTCAACTGCATGTGAAGATCAAGATATGCAAGACAAAGCTGGAGGCCAAGTAGAATTGCGGAAGATGTGGAACGATGTGTATGATAGTCTGAAGGCCGACTGAGGTCCGCGTGTGAGAGGTACAGACATGCAAGAGACTTTTATATATTTGAGGACTTGAGTCAAAGTCCCCTATTGTGCGTTCTTCCGGACTCAAGCATTCGTGTGTGTATATCCTATCAAAGTTGTTAGATTGCCTTTGAACGGATTTCTCTTAACCACTCAATCATTTGCGTGTCAAACACGAAGTAAATTATAGAATGAAATTATCAGGCATTATTGAGGATATTAGGCTAACTCATTTTCTCGCGATCATCAGGTAGTAAAATCAATGATGTGACCCAAACTCTCTCTCCTAATGTCAAAACATATCTGCTCTACTTAAAAAGGAATGAGCGTTTGTTTCACAGCAGTTGTCTCTCAATGATCCCCAAGTACGAATGCAAATTCTGTTCTTTAGATAGGTCTCTCACAGTTTTCATGGGAATGAGCGTGAGCATGTGCATGAACTATCTACATTTCACTTGAGTGCTTTTCTATTTCCGCAACAATGCACATGTTTTCTTCACCTCAAAAGCGCGTTATTTACCTTTGCAATCTACAACCAAAATTGTAGAGCCTGTTTTTGATCAACCATTGTTTTCGCGTGTTCGGTTCGTTTGCATCCCCCCTCTCACAGATTTCCGATCCGACTGATTCCGAGTCTATCACAGATGATGGTCCCTCTAAGCGATGGGATCAACTAAATGCGAAGCTTAAACAAGTCGAACAACGCCGACCAACGAGACTGAGCAAGTCGTTTATGAATGACATGGAGTTGAAAAAGTCCACAGAGCGTTTGATCTACATCAAGGAACGTGAGTCAAATTTTATACATAAATATATTCGTCTTAATAACCCTGTTTGTAACACCAGGTGATTTTTGGATAGACGGCTCTACAAAGACGCTCTATTATGACCCTATAAAGACGCTAACGTCACGGTCGCGTTTAGTAGCATCTAACACATCTAGAAAACATCGCATCGTAGTAATGATTCTTCAATGNGTCTATCTACTGGTCACCCGATGTCGCAAACAACGTTATTGTGACGAAAATACACTTCCTGGGTACAAGTATATGAATGAACTGACAAAAGATTACCGGATACTCATATCTGACGAGCGGCAAGAACCGCGGAACCGATCGTGTGCTTCCAGAGAAATTTTCTTCAGTCATTTACATAATACTTATTATCATATATATATATATATATTTCAGTGGTTGAATGAGAGCAGAGCATTGTGTGATTAATCCGTACGAATAAACTCGTCAGAATCGGCCGTCAAACAGGCATGTCGTTTACGTACAGTAAAATCCGAGATTCACATTCTCACGGATCGCTTTTAACCTGCCGTTTCTAGTGAGTGTTGGCATGGGATACATGTTCTTTCTGAAGGCTGATCGTCCTCGATACTTTATTAATGAGCATAATCCTCAGTTTATTGATTAGACTTGAGAGATAAGTAACAGTCTATTTGACTGGCTGTATGAGAGGGTGACATATGAGCAAACGTGGTTCAGTAATTTCAAACTAGGTCAAATTAAGTTATTCGCTTATTCAACCCGAAAGTACTCATTTGGCGAACTGATTGATAAAGTAGTAATTTACATATCTTACGTGCACTAGTTGGGGGTTTAAATCCATAACGGACTGGTGTATATGTGTTTTGTACGGAATTCTAGAAGGAACATTGTATGTGAGCATTATTCTTGTGTTGTTTAAGTATAATAGCTTTGGCAAAAATGAGTAATACATCCACAAGCAAACACATAGGTAGGCAAAATGAACGTGCTAAAGCACTACTGGACTGTACAATGAAAGATGCCTAGAGATACAAGTCAAGTTGACAATGTATCAGTTCTCATACGACAGGTGAACTGATGTCATTTTTGTCTGTGCACCGGGGTCAATAATTTGGTTTACGAAGGTTACATCACCAACCGAGTTGACATCTTCAGCACTTGTTGAATAGTGGTATTCTGTCGCATTCTTCTACCTACATATGCTATTCTTTAGTGACGTACTGGTTCCTTGTTCTCATTCTTTTTTCCACGAATTTCGTTTACCTCAAGTACCAATCCACTTTTCATCCCTGGTAGTATTGACGTAGAGTAACGGGTACCCAGATCTTTGTCTTCAAAAGTTTCCCCTGATCCAGCAATCTAGAAGAAATGCACTCTTGTCTGAAACAAAAACAAACAAATTCCATTTCAGTATCCACTGGGGCAGGCGACGAGAAAAAAGCGCAAAACTTTTAATGCTTTAAACAAAACTCGAAAGTCGAAATCTCATTCATTCATGTGGGTATAATGGAAACCACAACGGATTCATATTTATTACTGTAAGGTTTTTCTTTTCAAAAAGCTTCTAACAGGTTTCACGATTACTAACTACGTGCCAAGTGAGACTAGGGGCAGTTGCTTTAATTTGTCTGAAGCAATATATGATGTACAAATAGTACAAATAGTAGTAGTAGTATCCTGTTGAAAATTGTTCATTTATTCAAGCCATTTTAACATAGACAAGATCTAAATTTTTCAAGCAGGCGGGTTTCCTTGTATGTGTTGCATCTTGTTGTGATGATGTGATACACGTCATCAAGATTTTTGTCGGCCGCTCTAATAATTGTTCTATATGTTCTTGAAATAAGTTCCGATTCATGTATTTCAGGGGGTAAATTTACAAAGTTATACTGTTTTCAAGTACAAGTGACTTTCTTTCATAAACTACAAAATTGTTTTTTTTTCATTGCAAAATACTACTGTGAATGAAGTTTATCAGTGACACTCCTGCTCATTGAAATGTCTCAGGCAGGTCATCATCTTCAAGGTTTTACATCGATTCTCTAAGAATAAATGATCTAAGTAGTTTCTTCAATCGATAGTAAATGATTTTGATAAATTTGCTAGTCTAATGTTACTGTTTGAGTTTTGTAAATCAATGTTTAGAAAAGAACGGTCTACCCTCCTCGCCTTCCACGTTGGATCCGCTTCCAAAAACCGATTTCATCAAAGTGAACAAAAACGTGAAAGCAAGAAAACAAAAGACATCTGGATATTCTTATCGCAGTCTTCATCAATTGAAAAGTCCTCTGCGAGATAGGTGAGTCTAACCGGTACTCCATGACCTCTCCTAAAATCACAATATTGTTTATTCCTGGGGATTTTTTTCTTATGCTGTCTCTAAGGCACCAAAAGTAGTGAGTTTAATAGTTGACTATTGCAAGTGTTTTTTCAATACTTCGTCATAGCACGAAAGCCCCTTTTACACCGTGGCATTATAAAACTATGTGAATAACCCCTAATTGTTTTAGCTCACTCTGGCCGCGTGAAGTTGTGAACCAATGAAAGTTTATTTTATAACCGAAAGAACGCATTGTTGACGAGTTCCAAAAGTGATGAACTAAACCTCCATTGCCTTTTGTCTTCGAAATTTATTTAGCATATGGTGAGCTTCTTACTCGTTTCCTTTTTCTCTTAAGTGTTTATTTTGGGTGTCCAATATTCACATAACTGTCCAAAAAACTACAGGATTAAAACAAATACGAAAGTCTATTAATATTTTGGGACAACGTTGGGAAGCAAGCAAACCAATAGGCACATTTTAACGGCTCCTGTTCTGTCCGTTGTTTGAAAAGAGTAGTCAAGACTTATAGGCCAAATTGTGAAATGAAATACTGTCAACTTATTGCATTTGCGATTCCACTGACATTGAGACCATTTTGTCAAAGCACATAGACCTCCACTTGTTCGGAACCCACATGGATTCCATCTGGAGTGAGGCCCAGGCAATCGATAATGAACAGAAATATCGTGTGAAAACACAAATCATTCCGAAGCTCGACCAAAACAAAGACCAAGAACATTGTGCTGTTTTCACTTCACCAACGGTAGAGACTAAACGGATGTGGAAACTGAAACTTGGGTAGTAACACAATGAATGCTAAGAAGACACAGGCCTTTTATAAGAATTGCATTTCCTGTGTTCTGCTTGTAAAGAGATTGCATATGACGTTTTTAATGATATGGATGACGAATAAAACAAAAGAACTCCACGGTATTTAAATTTCTTATGTTCATGCTGTCGGATTAATGAACTTGTACGTTAGCTTCTGCTGTGCGCTTTGAGTATGTTCTGTTTCCACCATTCACAACATAAAATGCTGGCTGCATTTCCATCCCTTAGGTTCATTACAAAAGCTAAACGGCAATTACGAAAACTCAATTGGAGTTTAAAGCTGTGTAAGAAGGGAAGCGTCGCTGAGTTGTTGGTAGGCTGTCAAATCCGTCTTAAACATTTATCACCTGTCTAAAGCTCACCTGGGGTTCTACAAAGCGTTATCTCACCAATATTATGAGATCTCGGCTGCTCTAAACCCAATCTATTTCTTCTACAGTGCTGGTTTATTGGATGGAATCTTTGATATATATATATATATGTATATGTATAAACCGGCACAGCAGAAGGCTTAAATTGGGTTTAGAGCAGCCGAGATCTCATCATATTGGTCAGATAACCTGCCTCATAGAAAAAGAGTTATTTCGTAGTGGTTGGACAAAAGTTGCTACTTGATTCAACCACTATGAAGAGCAACTCTGCGCTTCACAGTTATAGTAGTACACCAGGGACAAATTGACATCTCCTAAATGACATCTGAACTGTCTGTATCTATGCAACTTTATCATTTTACCGCACTCAGTTTGAATAGCGTCGAGTATCGCCATCAAAAGCAATCAGATAACGTCGGGGACGTCTCCTGTGCGGAACTCCCTTGAAACTTCATAATCCTCAAGAAGCCGATTTATCATCTCAAAAAATCAAAGAAGAACGACGAAAGATGCAGTATCCAACTAGATTGTTTAGAAAAGCCCAAATACAGCGAAAGCTGTGACGCAGCTGAACTGCAGCGAAACCCGTCTACCATCAAATCGGGCTAAAAGTGAAAAAAAACGGATATATCGAAAAAACAGCGATAATGATCATATTGTAAAACTGGTCTTTGATTAAGTACGCTACATGTCTAAACCAACCAGTGGTTAATAATATTCAGTAAAATGAACGGTTTGATTAATTTTAACGATAATATCGAAAATCTGAAAATAACGCGGTTTGGATTCATTGTAAGGTGTTTTCAAACTGCTTTTTTGTTAGTTTATTTCACCTGAACCACATACCAACCGTAAAACTGACGAGCAGAGTTGAACTAAATCACATGCCATTATCGGAAGGTTGCAATCATAGTTTCTATTTGCCTTTTTGTGTCTGAGTACCGTCGTGGAAAACTGTGCTCTCTTCATCAAAGAAATGCCACGTTTCATCGGATTTTTATGTTTACCATTCATTAGGTTTATTCTTCTCAAGTATACTTCAGTGAAAACTAAGAAATAGAATAGTAAAATGGAAAGACAAGAAATAATACGCTCTTTCCCAAATGTTTTGACAAGCAATATACTGATCAAATTATGATGATACTTTTCCTCAATTAAATGAGTTTATATTGACGCAAAAAACGTATATAAACTACAGTTATACCAAATAATACTTGTGAATTTGGATTCGAGGAATTGATATCCCATCCATCCGAACAAACAAATTTGCATGACTTTCGCTTGAAGTAACGTGTGCGTTAAAACTCCTGGGGAACCATATTCTGGGTCTCACGCAGGTTTGAGAAAAGCACAATCACTTTTCATAATTTTCTATCATTATTTGCCACCTGATATTATATAGTATTTAATTGTAAGTTTAGTTAATAATGGGGCTCATGATAAAGCTGGTGGATGTTAAGCAGCCTAGACAGTCTACCACTACATTCGTGTGTAGTACCCTTGAAGCCCCTCCCCCTGTCCCGCTTCCTAGAGGGCCAGACACAGTTAAACTTTGCTGCTGTTGCCACGCATTTATTCTGCTTTGATGATAGTGATAATATGAGTTGGCGTGTTTTAGCGGCTTATTATCAGATGAAAGACATGCGTAATTCGATAGGATTTCCTGACGTTTGTGATTGTTCCGTAATTAGGCATCGTCGTTTTCCTGAAGAGACGAATGAGTACCGGATAGATAATTATGAAATGAAATCATTTTGAAAGCTGGCATTATACCCTGGTCTATCGGCTGAACCAAATCTAGCTCATTTCTGAACGAAAGTAGACACTTGAAATTGCTGAAAAGACTGTCTCGTAAGTAATAGGACAAGTTGCCGATGGGGCGCAGAATGTGGTAGCTTATTTTCAAGTGAATATGATTTCCTTGGCACAGCCTGGATTCAGACGCCTGTGAAATACCCACATACACACATACCGTTTAAATAAATAAAGTTGTCATCCAAACGTTTGTGTTTCATCACCAGGTAACAGGTGGAGTTTCAACACCTATGAACAGTCAGAGTGACTGCGAGATCTGAATGATCAGTGGCTTTTTAAATTTTCTCAGTTAGTCGCGTTGGAACACGTTTTCCTATCCGTGAAATATTCAGCATCAAATTTGAACGTTCTCTCAGGAAGGTCAAGGCACAGGAGAACGTTTCTATTGATTTTGGAGATTTCTTAAAGAGAAAGTCTTTGGAACAGTCCTGTGAGATAGCGGAATCAACAGTTGTTTTATTTCCACTCAAACTGTTACCGCAAATGCTACGGAACAGAGAGCCAGAGCATTGTTAATTTGAATTCATTTAAATGCAGTCTGGTTTCACTGCACGTGTATTTCCTGGGAACTTTAGATCAGATGTTGAAATGAAAAGGCCTCACTAGTTGATTGATCGTGAGAACGCAACTTAATAAACAAGTTTTGTTTGATTAACTCTGTTCTCATAGAAATAAATTTTTGCATACTTGTCACACCGATGAAAACCAAGACCACATCAATCACATCAAATGGTAAGATTACATATTCGGCAAGCCAAAATTTGCGATTGCTGTTATTGTTGTCATTATTCGTACCGCTAAGTTTCAAACGAACAATTTCATTCCCCTATTTTCTGCTAACTTCATACTTATTTTTTGGAAGACGTTGGCTTACGGCAATCTGAATTACGTTCAATAGGGTGATTTTCGGAACAAGAGTAGGCTTCGTGTTTGGCTTGCGACCAGGCACGCCACANGGTTGAGTCACGTATGCATACGGCGGTCTTCGTGCAGCCTCTATGGATAAGACAATAATAAGGGAAGCTTGATGGTGAGTGTGTACATTTCTTCCTGCGTCTGAGAATGGAACTCTGTGCAGCCGGTACCAGAACCCGTTGACTTCAAGGCAATCAAGCATGAAAGTCATCCATAAGACAAGGGTGTGTATACGAACAACAGTGTCACCGTGATTGATTTGTTATGTCTATCAGTCTGAGTCATTGCATGTAAAAATTAATTGTGTTCTTCCTCAGGTCATGATGTTAAGTAGTTACGTGGATAAGGGGATCTTCGTGTTGAATACGATTACCACCAACACTTTAGGCGAGATTTGAGCTTATTTTAGGGCGTGATATTGTAGGGGATATTTATGTCATGTTTCCTGGAATACCAAATCCATTTATTACAGTGATCACGAACTTACAAATATGCATAGTTTGCGACGCTCAATATTCCATTTTTTTAGCACGGATACCATGTTGATGGCACGAACTATGGGGCTGACAAGGTCAAAACTCCAGTTGGTC